AATTATGGAATCATAGTGAGGATTTTTGGTGGTTTGCTGTTTGTTTTTGTATAAAAGTGGAAAGATCTGTGTTTTTAGCCTGTAGGGAAATAACCTATAGAAAATTTGAAAGAATTTGGAAGCCCTTAATGGATATCCTGAAGGGAACAGATGGAAGGATTAATCTTAAAGAGAGGGGCAACTCTTCCACTGACACTAGAAGAACAGAGATGAGAGGAGGTGCAAGGGGTGTATTCTTTCATAGGTTTGAGGATTTCAGAGGGCTGCAGACCAAATTTTCCCTGTGAAATAAGCAAATATATTGAGAAAGGAGGTAAAGGTTTGGAAAAAGCCCAGATGCACTGAGGTGAATTGGCTTTTACTGGGGCATATTGTTAAATAAATGGTTCGAACCAGGACTAAATCTTAATTTTGAGTTTCATGCCGGGAAATCATATCAGTAATCTTTGAACCACCAATTCTTTGGGGAGGGGGGTGTATATATCTCAAAGGCTCAAAAAATATTGATTATGTATTATAAATAAAACTTTGTTACAACTGTTTCAAATTTGAATTCTGGTTTTAGTTTATGTAGTAGTGATGAACTAATTTATAGAAGATTTCTCTGACACCTTGCTGCACTGTAAAAATGACTCTTTAACAGTATCAGTGTTTCTTCCTAATTTTCCCCCTTTTTACTGTCTAGGCTTATAAAGGAAATATATGGGGAGCTAGAGGGCATATTTGAGTTTCTCTTTGTGGCACCATAGGCTACTCATTTCCTAGGTTTTACTAATCTAGAAATCACAGGAATGGAAGCTGCTTTTAGAATTTATAAGAGGAGAATGTTAAGATACCTGACTTCATATACCTTGAACTTCACTTTGGCTCAAGTTTTCTGTTTAATTTGTACTTTGATACTGGGATTTTAATTTTTATAACTGATGTATGATATGCAACAAAACATTTCCTGGGAATTTGGGGGATTTTTGGCACCAGAACTATCTTTATTTAAAGTATTACCTGCATTGTTGCTTAGATTTAGTGGAAAAAATAGCCACCTGGAGGGAGGGGGACAAATTTGTGAACATAAGTATACAGACAGTATTAGCATCTTTTCAGTTATAATTTAAAATCAATTTGAAGTTTCTTTGCAGCTTGAAACTTTGAAAATTCTACTACAGGTAAATGTAGCATATATCCTGAAGTCTGCTAAAATGATTAGACTTGTAAGCAAAGGGGACCAAAGCTTTGCCACCCAAAATGTGCCTTTTGGGATATTGATTTTAAGCTGGTTATTAAGAAACAAAAAACTCAAAAAGAAACTTTGACCCTTCCCCTTTCCTGCATTAGAGATTCAGATGGAAGGGCCTGCTCCAGGAAGGGAATCTTAGTATGTTCACCCTAGCTAGCATTAGATAGGAAGGATCAAAGCAGGGTGCTGTTAGCTAGATATCCGCCCTCCCTAGGGCCCATTGTTTCTGGGTTGCCTAGCAGGAATTCCTTTGCCATGTGTGTTCAGCTCTTTTCAGCTACCTGTGATTTGCCTTCCCCCCCCCCACTTCCCACCCCCTTTCTCCTTTGTCTATAAAGTCGTATAATACCTCAACTGCCCAGTGCTTCTTTGGGTCTCATTCTTAAGGCACCCCCGAATGTGCATTTTTATAATAAACTTTAGACTTTTTCTCCTGTTAATTCGATTAATAGCCCAGCTACAAGAACTTAGAAAGTGGGAAGAAAAGCCCTACATAAGTATATATAAAAATGAGGGTTGTATCTCCCCAAAGGTTTTAAAATTTAATTAAACACTAAAAGAGAAACTAATTGCTGGCTTGTTTTTACTGTTTTAACAAGAAAGTTAACCCCCTCCTAGAGAATTAGTATTTTTGTATTTTTTCCAAAGCTGCTTATACTCAGAAAGAATAAGCAAAACAGTTTTTTAATGAACTTGGCAGAATTTCAGGGGATTTTTTTTCTTTTTCTCTATTATGAATTTCATTAAATTTTTATGCTTTTAGGTTTCCCCAATATGGAGGTAATAAACTGACTCTGGCAGACTGTGGTTTTTGCATGAAGCAAGCAGAAAAGTATGTTGTGAAAAGAGGGTAGATTGGTGTAGGGTAGACTATCTTAGCCAACCTTTCTGTTGTTGTAAAATTATTAAGCAATTCTTTTCCACAGCATATATTTCAAAAATAGATATTGCTTCACTCTATTTAATGGTTATTATTATTTTTTCTTCCTCTAAATGAAATAGTGAATATGTGTAAGCTAGCTTTGAAAATACTGAGTTCTAATTTCAAATCACTATAATAATTAGCAGTTATCTCAATCCTTATAAATTGAGTTATCTGCTTTATGTTGCTACTCATTACTTTATGAGTATTTGATAGTTTCTAAAGAAATGTGTCAAAAAAGAGCAGAGTTGTAAAAATGCTTTCGGAAGAACATGTAAAATTTTTTTTTAGCAGCGTTTTATTGAAAAAGTGTTAAATATTCCTGTTTGAGTGGAGGCATTTAAGTATTCTATTCTTTCTTTCCTGGATTCTTCTGGTTTTAGAACAATTTCTGAAGAGGAAGACTGAAGCATGGTGTGTGTGTGTGTGTGTGTGTGTGTGTGTGTGTCCGTCCAGCATACACCTGTTCTTTTTGCACCAGATTTCAAGATGCATTGCTTGACATGCAGGATAAAAATTTTCAAGAACACAGAAGTAAAACTGAAAAATGATTGTAAAACGAGAAGTGGACTAAATAGTTAAGCGATAAATATATCATTTTTGTATATAGTACTTCCATTTAAAAGCATAGTACTCTGAAAAAATTTACTGCATCATCATAGTACATTACATGTTACTAAATACTTTTACTTCTAGTGATGTTAATAATAACTAATATTTATATAGCACTTTTATTTGTATAGCACTTTGTGGTTTCTCTTTACCAACATATTCTATTTAATCTATTTCTTATTTAATATGGTATTTAGTTATGGTTAGCATATGTGAATAGCTCTCTAGACCAGTTCATCTTTATTGCTCTCACAGCACATTCCCATTGAAGCATACATATTATTTTTATTGTCTCTGTTTAAAAATGGAAAATGAAGCTCAAAAATGTTCGATGGTTATTGTTACTTTAGGTATGATATTAATATGAATAGTTAACATTAATTTTGGCCAGTGTTTAATAATGAGTCCTGAAAGAATTTTTTTTTTAAAGATTTTACTGGAGAGTTGGGGGAGGGGAACAGCGTTGGGGAATCAGGGAAGGGGAAAAGACAAGTTGTCCTTTTGTTCTTCAGTCTAGTTGTCTAGACGTCGCTTCACTGGCCCATGTTGGTATTATCATTGTGCTCTTCCCCAGTGAGGCAGTTGCTTGCCGACCACTGGACAGCTGCTCATGGTGGCTCACGGCAGCTCATAAAAGCTCATGCCCGCTGCCGGCCAGCTCCACTGCGCAGCCTACACCGTCAGGAGGACTTAACAGCAGCCCAGCTGCTGTCAAGCTGTTGTTCACCATCTTAGCTGTAGAGGGCGCAGCGTCACTGGCCCTCAGTGTGGGATCCGAACTGGGGCCCTGCTGCTCAGAGCGGGCGCTCCCAAGCCAACTCCTAACCAATGCGCCACTCGGCCAGCCCCTGAAAGAATTTTTAAAGCTGGATAATTTATTTTTTAGCACTGATATGGTTGGTATTTGACCCCATCTAACTACTTTGAAAATTATTTTTGTTTTTTGTATGATGACATCATAACAACTTAGGAATTTTAGAACTATATTATTATATGGTCTTAATTGATTAACTTTTTCACCAAATGTGTAAAAGCTTTTTCCCTCAAGAGAAAAACTTAATCTAAGATATACAGTTTACTATCACTCTTTGAAAGAAGAGATGGGTTTACAAACATTATGTAAATAATGAGTCAGATAAAGGGCCTGTAACCACAACCCACTATCTAATACAGAACAAAAGGGAATTTTTAAATACTAAGACAGTAGAAGTCTTCTGTGTGGTTTAGTTTAAAAATGAGAGAAAGAAAAGGCAGCTATTTTCATATACCAATATTTCTATACCATAAACTATCATTTAATGTTTTGTTAATTCACAGATTACATTTTTTGCAGTAAAATAGAAATTCAAACTTCACAGATTTTAAAAAATTCTATCACATTTTATCGTGATTTTTGAAAGTGATAAAAATAATAAAGATAAAATGAATGATTTATTAATAATGAATGAGACTAGATCATTGCCTAAATTCTAAGTTACAAGATGAATTTACTAATAAACATTTAATACTTTTTTGTGAACTATTCTTTATTTTCCTACAATAGCTGTAGTTATAATATTGCACTTAACATGTTTCTGTGAGTCCATTATACTTACACAACAGTGTAGGTTTTTGTATCATAGAACACTGCATTTACTTACAGAAATTTTGCTTGACCATTATTTTAACGCTGTTTGGAAACAGTGTCTTAAGAATAAGGTTTTTTTATGCAATGGAAACTGTTTCACTTGACAAGTTAGGTTACAGCTGTGTTATCTATGTCACCATGAAGTATATAAACATGAATATTACAGGTGTTTTCTGTGCAGGCTCTTTAAAGGAAGTACCTGCTATTTCACAAAATGATAGAGAAGTGTGGGTGTGAAACATTTAACTTGTTCTTCACTGAAAGCTGTCAAGGAGTCACTTTTATTTTTTGCATTTCTTTGCATAACTTTTAAGACCACTTGTTTTATGTTATTCGTAATATCAGTTCCACGATAGGCTAACTTGCTTTATTAGTAAGATGAATTTACTTTAAAATAGTTATGCTTTCATTACCACTGTATTCCTTTCGTGATAAAATCTATTCTGTTTTGTAAACTTAAAAAACGAAGCGCATAAATCGTTATCACTCCTTTTGACCTACCGTGTGTCATAGTTTGCATTGTAAGCAAATATTTCTCATTCTATTTTTGTATCAGTAACCCAGGAAATTACGCTCTAGTTTCTTATTTGCCTTTCCTATTACAGGTCAACAAAAATCTCTCATTCACTTCTACAGTATCCTCCTCACAACAATATAAGGCAAAACAGCCAAACGTGCTGGACTCTCATCAGATTCTGCATCAGTTTGGTTTCACTCAGACCGGTGAGCCCTTTCTTACTTTGACTATTCTTTTAAATGTTCAGATGCTTTTTAATTTTCCATGAGTGTCATTTATTTCACTTCAGAAATACAGCTTACAGCATTGTAATGGTCAGTTGTCACACTTGAATTATATTCTCGCATCTTTTTTTCTTTAAAAATCACTCAAATTATTTCAAAAGCAAATTTGAATTTTATAACTTGAATAGTTGATACTGTCAATCTCTATTGAACAGGTAATAATTTAAAAGTAGCAAAACATGTGAGTTTTAAACACGTATACTATTAAATCTGATTCAGTTTCCCTTAGGTAAAGGAACCATAATTGATTTTATATGTTATAGTTCATTTCAAGGAACCCAAGGTAAAATGCATTTTGGCAGAAACAGGATTCAACCTGCCAGTGATATTATGTTTCTTCAAAGTTGGAAAATTAATAAAGTATGCAAAGAAGCTAGTTACAAAAATCTAAGTGAATCACTGAGTTGAAACGAACTATACAATTGCAAATATTTAGGCCAGTGTTTTAAATTAATTTGAATAAGGTTTTCAAAGGGCAGCAAAGAAAAAGCATTTAGGTGAGAATGCGACTTTGGGGATTGAAAGGTGACTATTTCTGTTCATTAACTATATGTTTTTGACAGTATTTTTTCTGTTGAATTCTTTTCAATTAAAAGACGAGACAAATGAAAATAAAACGATTATCTTTGACAAAGAGACTTGAGCTTCAAAAGATTGACATAATTTACTTAGAAACTTGGGGACAATATTACTTTTCTCCTTTGAAAGTATTTGGAGTTTACATATATAAGTTATTTTAATATGGCTTTGTAAGTTACATATTATGGTGAGAAAATACTTGGATCAAGAACTCTTATGTTCACTCTTGGCTGTGCCTTTTATTACCCTTGTTACCCGTGAATCTTAGAATATTCATTTGGAAACCAGAAATGATGTTTACATTATATATTGCTGAAATTCAAATCACATAGCACATATGAAACACTTTGTAAGCATAAGGTACTGTACAAATGTAATATACTTGTACTTAAATTGTAAACATGATGAGTATATGCACGCTATCTTTGCAAATACTTTGAGTTCTAATTTCAAATCATTATAATGACTAAGTTATCCCAAACCTTAGAAATTTTGAATTTCTTTGTATCTACCAGAGCTGGAGCAATAGTGTTGGTCATTCTTATGTACAGTGGAGGGCGCACCATGTGCTATCCCTTTAGACTTTTATTTTCTGCACCCTAAGTAGATACTTGGTTTGCCTTCAGACCCTGTCATTTTAATGACTAGGAGGGAGGGAGTCTGTATCTAGCACTTACTTGATGCTTATCATCTTTCTTTTGAGAACCGAAATTCTTCTAGGAACAGATCTTTTCATTCCACACTTTAGGATTAAAGGCATAAACAAAAGTATTTGGTTGAGTTAATATATTGATTAATGTTCATTCAAGTAGTCTCTTAAGTTTGTCAGCAAACAAGGTGTAGATGATAGATATAAAATTCTTTTCTGTAAAGGGAGAGAGCAGAGAGGATAGATAGGAAGGCCTTTGAAATGCAAAAGGGGTTGCCACTGAGAGAAAGAATAAAGGGAAAGCTGGTTATGAAGCAGGAGCCTTAGAAACAGCACCATGGTGCGTAGGACTGGCTCCATCCATGTACCTTCAGCTTTCCTTGGTCACATAAGGCCTTGAGTTGAGGGATTTATATCATGGGTGTTACTGTCTCAGAGACATTGCCATTAAGCCATATGGTATACATGATAATACTGTTCCACTTCATTTTGTTTTAGTGAGTAATATACATATTCTTCCTATAAATTTTATTAAGATATCACTGTATGGAAAATTTATAAAAGCGAAAAGTGTGTTGCAAAATAGCCAAATTAAACCCCTGCCCTAGGAAACAGATGTACTACTTTCTACACCCAGTTCCATTTCTAAATGACTCTAGAGTCTTGAACAATTTCTTCAGGCCTCAGTTTTCTTATCTCTACAGGTAAATAAGGGCTCTAGATTTGGGGAGCTTGTCTTAAAAGTTCTGTGATTCTACTCAGTATTCATACCAGTTTTAAAAGAGGATAATTAGTTAAGTGTTCTTGACTACACAGATAATCTATTATCTGAAATACAAAAACAAATAACATAGATAGGTTTTCAGTAAGGTTTTCATTTTTAAACATCTTATCTAAGTCTTCAAGTGGTATCTGTAGATATTTGGCTTTGTACAGTATAAAGAAAGGCTATTTACACAGCTAGTTAATATGGTCCTCTTTCTGGAGGCTTAAGAGCAGGGGTTGATTTGGGGGGAGGGGGTGTTGATTGGAGGGTGTGTGTGGGTGTGTGTGGGTTTGTGTGTATGAGTTTATATGCTGGAAGACTAGACTCCAAGGTGGGTTTATACTCTGGTCTGCTGTAACTTCTGTTGACCTTATTCAGGATGAATTCTAGGTAATGGAGACTGCTAGTAATGTGTTTCTTCCTTCTTTGGTTTGTATTCTTAGTTTCTAGAATACTCCCTTTATTCATTTTAAAATCGTTCTAAGTGGCTACTTTGCTTAAGGCCCTCATGGAAGGATATGGACTAAATAGTACAGTCTCTGCCCTCGGGGAGCTAACAGTCTGATTAGGGAGACAAATGAGCATACATCAAATTATTTCAGAGTGGGACAAACTCTAAAATCACAGTACAAACCAAGTGTCACTGGAATAAAGAGGATAGAACAGCTGAGAGGTTTCTCAGACTTCACATGTCCAGACAGAACTCTGGACTTCCTGCCCCAAAACCCTCCCTCCCACTTCCCCTGCCACACACCTGGTCTCCCCAATCCCAGCACTCCCTACCACACTGACCCAGCTGTTCAGGTAAAACTGAGAGCCATTCCTGATCCCTCCCTCCTCTTCCCTCCACTTCCCTGGTCCACTTCTTTCCTCTTAGCTTATTCTCCCCATAGAAGCCAACATGATTCTTTGAAAACTAAATTAGATCCTGTGACTACCTTGCTAAACTCTTAAATGGCTTTTTGTTACAATTAGAATGCGTTCCAGGGTCCTTGCCCTGTCTCATTGTCTTCATCATAGGCCTCCTAGCAGGTAGAGCTTCAGGAGTGCCCGCGGAGCTAAGAAGCAGATAACCGCACGCGCGAACACACACACACACACACACACGCACACGCACACGCACACGCGCGCGCTTAGAAGAGAGCGCGGCATAGCTAGGGAGTGGTTTGAATCTTAGTTTAGCTGGAGGAAATGGTGAGATGGATGTGTTTAGGAAAAACTGAGTCTGCAAAGGGAGATTGGGGTCCAGTTGTGCCCCACTGAGGAATTCACATTTCATTCTCTAGATAAAATAGAGCTATCCAAAGATGTGTGTGAAAGAGATGATAAAATGTGTTTTTGGAAAGTACAGCTGGTGTCTGAATGAGGGATAGGTTAATGAGAAAAACATCTGGATACAACTCTTATGACATACTTATTTTAGGGACTGTTCATTAGGTTGTCACTCCAGGTCCTTAATTACAAAAGAATAGATCAGTTAATCCTATTTAGAAAACCATAAATCTTTCCTGAGTAATTTATGTAAGAAAGGAAATTGTGCAATTTTATTTGCCAATTATACTTTAATAAAGTTGAAGGGGAGAAAGAGAATTGTAATTTTAACATTTTTGGCTAAATTGTAGGTTATAGCTCATAATACCTCACCATGTAGTGAACGTGTTACACTGCATCTCAAAATTTTTTTATACTTGAGTATAATGAAGAAAATATCTAAAATAATAACAGCAACTCGTATTTGTGTAGAAAATTATGAAGTGCTTTCATATGTATCCTCATTTGATTCTCAACAAAACTCTGAGAAGTAAGGTAAACATTAAATTCGTAGGAAGTGAAGTCTTTTTAGAGCTTTTAGGACCTTGACACTTGCAATTCCGCCCCTTTGCAGTGAAACTGAGAACAGAGGGGCTGATTTGTCCCAGTTCACCTAGCTAGTGGCGGCTGTGTCTCAAGAGAGAGCTCCTCACGCCCTGCTCCACACTCATCCTTACCACCCCAGACTGTCTGTTGCTAGAGAAGGGCACAAGTTCAGGAGGTGACGTGGGCTGCCTGCTCAGACCAGCAAGGCCTGAGCCACTCCTCATTCCTGGCCGGTTGTCTTGCTCTGCCTAGAGGGCCCCCTGGTTTGGGTGTTATCTTGTTACTAGCTGTAGAGGTCTGTGATATATTGCAAAGTAATAACCTGGACAATATTAACTATTTGAAATAGGTATCATTAAAACTGAGATGTCAGGGACATATTTTCTGAGAATTAATGAACTTGTATTTTTCTTTGACCTTTAAGTACAATTTTGTGTTGGCCAATTATGTTTTTAAAGGCTTAGTCCCAGTGAGAAACTGTAGTATTCAGTCTCCAGTCAATTCAAGAGGTCCTCTGCACAGAAATTTTGTTCTGTGACAATTTCTCAGAATCCCGGATCCCTTTCAACCATTTTAAGAGCCTTATGATAGAAGTAAACTTTAAAATATGGATTATTCAGTAAAAAATAAAGTCAGTTACGGTTTGGGGTGTGTGGAGAATTAGCCAGAAGTGCTTATTCTGTTGGCAGGGAGTAGCTGTATCATCCTTGAGTGTTTATATTTGAAGGACAGCATGTTTCATTTTTATATACTTGGTATATCTTTCCACAGCATTTCGCTAAATTCAGTTCAATTCATATGCAGTAGATGAGTCATACAAAATGAAATGAATCATTTTATTAATATGACTTAATGTAATCTTCATATCATTTTTTTTAAATTGTAGACTTGGAGTTTGATGGTGGAGGCAGGCAGAGTATAACATGGTTTTTAAAAACAGCCAGTAGCTTTTGTCTTTTTCATTTTTTTTTTGCAGTCTCCGATAGACCATATAAACACATATTAAACTTGATAGCCAACCATTATATCTAACTTTTTAGCAGATCCTAAATGGTCAAGGTATTTGATTTC